GAACCAATGAGGTAATCACTTTTAAAAGGTTGTGTTCTAAACAAAGACAGTTTTTTACATTTACAAAAAAGTTTGACATCATCAGCAAACATTAGGATCTTAGAGTAACGTATAACCGTTGGAAGGTCATTTAGATACAATACAAAAAGTAGAGGACCTAAATGGCTACCCTGGGGGACACCAGAGTACACAGTTATCTGTTTAGAAAGAACATTATTGAAAGAAACTCTCTGTGTACGCCCTTGCAAATAAGATGATATCCGTGATAAAAATAATGTTGCGAAACCCATTTTGTCAAGTTTATGTAATAATAATAAGTGATCCACTTTGTCAAAAGCCTTACTAAAATCAGTATATATAATATCAGTTTGGCATTTTATTTGCAACAACAAGTTGTTATTAAATTTTTTTAACAAGTCAAACGTCAAAAAAAATCTATTCGTAAATATTATATTTTAAAAAATGTTCTAAAAAAGCAAGAGTTACGAAGTTGTCATCATATAGTCCATATAAGTATACATATTCATTTCGCACCCATATATAGTAATCGCTGAATTTAATTACGACGTAGGTCTTTATGACATTTCTAAAATAAATTTATTGTAAGTTAGAACTACAAAGACAAAAAGTAAGTACCAAAAGATATATACCCTCATCATTTATCCACTTATTTATGTATCCCTTTATAGACATTGATATAAAAGAGCCCACACTTAGTACAAATATTGTATTTAGTACATGTACTAAAAATATTTTATTTTACTACAGTTTTACACTTCTATGGCAAGAATATTTATATTTTACACGTAGGTCCCTATTGATATAAGAAGATTTGTGCTAAAAAAGTACTAACATGAGAAGAAGCTGTTATTTCGGAAGGGCCAAACTTAGAATACCCTCCACAATTTGGAAGGAATTTGCAAAAGATTCCGCTGAAAAATACTTTTAAATTCTTAAAAACACTGAACACACGAAGTTACCGTTTTTATGCGGCCTAAGTAGTGTGCTTATGGGGATGTTGGGAATTCACCACGATTTATCACGGCAAATTCTATTGGGGATGTTGATTTGGGTAAATTCACCACGGTGAATTTTAATGGGGATGTTGTCTTGGGAATTGTACCACGGCAAATTCTATTGGGGATGTTGATTAGGGTAAATTCTCCACGGTGAAATATATTGGGGATGTTGTCTTGGGAATTGTACCACGGCAAATTCTATTGGGGATGTTGATTTGGGTAAATTCACCACGGTGAATTTTAATGGGGATGTTGTCTTGGGAATTGTACCACGGCAAATTCTATTGGGGATGTTGATTAGGGTAAATTCTCCACGGTGAAATATATTGGGGATGTTGTCTTTTGAAATGTACCACGGTGAAATATATTGGGGATGTTGTCTTTTGAAATGTACCACGGTGAAATATATTGGGGATGTTGTCTTTTGAAATGTACCACGGTGAAATATATTGGGGATGTTGTCTTTTGAAATGTACCACGGTGAATTATATTGGGGATGTTGTCGTTTGAATTGTACCACGGCAAATTATATTGGGGATGTTGTCTTTTGAATTGTACCACGTCAAATTTTATTGGGGCTGTTGGCGTTGCTAGTTTTAATATGGACTACTAGATGGCGCTAAGTTTAGCGCAGACACAATCCAAAACTGTGTATGGGATGGTGAAATTTCAAGTTTTAATATTCACCACTAGCAGAGACACCCTCCGAAAAAAAAAAATGTATTATGATCATATCGAGTGGGGCTAAAGAGATTCACCATGTGAGAAGTGAATATAGCAGAAACACATCTGAAAGAGGTAAGTATCGAAGAAAATCATTTTATCTAGATGGCTCTCAGAATGCTTTTATATAGTCAACATGCTGATTACTGCAGTCAAATGTGCTTATTAATTTATTTGAAAACATATATTTCAAGAAATCGACTTCAATAAATGTGATATATTATAGAAGAGTTTCAATTGACAAATATGCTGCAATTATTGATATTTCAGGGGTTTTAATTTCAGCATAGATGAAAGTATAAATGAAAATATAGACAAAGAAATGACATCGAAAAATTCCGGAATAATCAAGTGAAATTCTTGAAAAAAGATAACGAAGTCGAGTGGGTTGAACACGAAAATCAGCATGTTGGCTATGCAAAACATGATGAGATAAAAAGACAAAACTAACTTTTCGTTGTACTTGTTTTAATTTGTCTATAATTTTAGCGACTCAAAAATGTTCAGTTATTCCCATCGAAACGATATAGGCGACATCTAACGGTGAGTTCCATCCATACTATCCATAAATTATGTTGTAGCATAGACACACTCCAAAACTATTGAAATATGATCATATCGAATGGGGCTAGAGAGATCCACCATATGAGAAGTGAATATAGCAGAGACAAATTTGGTTAGTATCATAGTCAACAAGAAGATGTGTGTTCTATTATTTTGTCCAGATGGCTCTCCAGTCATTTCCCTCGAAACGATATAGGCGACATCTAACCACCAATTAATGTTGTAGCATATACACACTAAAAAAATGCTGCTGTAGCCAATCAAAGCAAATTCTTCTTGTGTGGACAGGCATTTTGATACATTATATCGATCGCTTTTTGATAGTTTTGTCGATGAAGAATTTGTTTACATTATGTAGCAATTTGAGAGAATTGAAACTGAAAGAGTTTCATGACAAACCCTGCATCAATTCGGTATTGAAGATTGAAGGGATTTGAAGAAGGAAACACCATTGTTTACATTAACTAACAATTGGATTTCTGTGAAATGGATATGAGAATTTGGGGGGAAGCGTTGTTGCAGAGTTTCATGACAAATTCTGCTTCAACGATAGATTGGAGCATGAATGAGAACATGCTTAATTATGCTCAAAATTAAAAACTCTAGTAACTCTGTAATATTGTGAAATTCGCGTTAAATATTCGTATATATAGAAGACAATTTCAAGTAAGGCTCACAGTATAAAATTAAACATTGAAAGTGATATTATGGCGAACGCAGATTTAATAAACTTATTCAATTCTTTCAGTTATAAAAAAATAATAACTTTGAAAGAAATGGAGGATAACAAAGAATACAACATCCATGGCGCCTTTAGAACAAATACAAAATATGGGGAAAGAATTGTGCTGAAAATTAATGATGCTATCCTCTATTTGCCGTCAAGATTCCTCTCGCTGGCGGATGAATACATAAAAGAAATAGCTGGTGGGGGTTATTCTGTGACGAAAACTGTGTTGAAAGATGGAAGCGGAAAGAGTCTTTACAAACTAGAATTAAAACATTTGGATCAGCCAGATTATTTTTATCAACCATATTTAACATAAACTGAAAAGTAAATAAATATTTTGTTTGAAACTAAAAATTGCAAGCTGTTTTCATTTTAATGTGTACAGAGAAATATTTCAGTTTATTAGTGAAGCTTTAGAAAGGAAGATGTCTCTTCTTAATAAGGAAGACGAACGCTTAAAAACCTTTGCTCGCTGGCCTTTAAATTATCCAGATCCCAAGACAATGGCTGCAGTAGGACTTTATTATACTGGAGTAGGAGATATTACCAGATGTTATTTTTGTAAAGTAAACATTCATAGTTGGGATCAAACTGATTGTCCTGTTACTGAGCATTCAAGGTTGACATATCGTTGCCCATTGCTGGAAGGGCGTGAAACAACTAATGTCCCAACTATTTCAAAAAATTGGAATTGTACGCCTTCTGAAATTGGTGTAGATGTTTGTGGTCGTGGAGCGAGTAAATGTTCAACCATTTTCTTATTATTGTTCACTTTCATTACCTTTAATGCTTTAAATAAAGTTTTATGCAAATAATACAGTTGCTTGTTTTTATTTATTAACTTTATTAATTTCATCGTCTAGTATGTAGCCAAGTTCTTTCCAGTTTTGTTCAATGAATACAAATATCTTAAATATATTATTTATGGCACATTTAAATCTAGTGTCCAAATGTATAGGACAGTTTGTAAAATAATTTTGGCAAGCTCGAAGTTTCATATTATTTTCTAAATTTATAATGGTAGAATGAATATATTTCTGTAAAAAGATTTTCTTTTCTTGTCCAACGACAAAAATATATTGATAATTGTTCAATGGTGTAAGAGCTTTCTCGACATCATTATAATTTTTTTCTCCATCCGTCCAATCTAAGCCATTCACATGTGTCTTGGTGTAGGCATTTGTTCTGCATGCTTCCCCAGTAAGTTCTTTTATATTAAAAGGTGGGCGAAACAAAAAATAATCTGGAACAACAGAAGCACCACACATAAATGATAGTTCCTTCACGAAAATACTCTTGTGGTTTCCATGGCAATATTGAAAATCAACCAGTGCAATATCCGATCTATTGATTTCAATCATCTTCTTTGGAAAGTTGAATTTGAATGGAGAGGATATCATCGATGTTGGAGTATTTATAAAATTTTGTTCATGTCCAATAAAAACTTTAAACAAAGATGTCCACAATTGTATGTATGAAATCGTTGATCTCTTTTATAATTGTATGTAATAGCTGGTCCCAAATAGCGTAAAACTTCTATCGGGGGTTGAAGATTACCGAAACTGTCGTAATAGTCGATATTATTATTGATTTTATTATATGCCACCCAATGCGTGCCAGGTCCACTGCTAACATCCAAATTTATGATACCACATTCAATTCGATGTGGTTTCTTAGGTAGATTATCACGCATATAAACACCTCTAAAGTGAGGTATATATTTTTTCCCAAAAAAACTAATATTTACATCGGTTAGAGGACCTTTGGGTAGCTGCTTAATTAGTTTTTTGGAGTTTTATTTTCATCAACATAAATTCCATAGCCCTTTTTATATGGTTTGAGATAGAGACCTTTACCCATAGCTATAGCTTCTATTGTTTTGTTATGTCTGGTTTGTTCATCCAACTCTTGTTTGGCTTTTTTTGCATTTAAAACGGCATTGGTAATTGCTGAACTACCCGATGCTAAGGCTCCCAATGCTCCTAATCCAGTTAGAATGGGAATGAGAGGAAGAAATCCACCTCTTTTGGGCACGCTTATTACTCGCGGTATAGCGACCTTTGATTTTTTTCCTCGAAACGTCTTTTGTATTTCATGTCTGGCTATTTTTATGGCTTCATCAATATCAGTTGGTTTTTTGCTTTTAAGGGAACTTGTAGCTTTTTTTAAAGCGTTTTTAAAAAGTTGTTGACCCAATATTTGTTTGGGGTTTTTATTACCCATGCCTAGCTTTGTCTTAGCCTTCATTATGTTAGTTACAAGATATGCGCTAATTTTTTCTCCAATGTTACTATTTTTCGATTTTACTCGCTCCCAAGCCCGTTCAGTTAGTTCACGATCAGCAATGTGACGTTGTTCAATATCTTTATTTTGTGAATAGGCAATATCGTGTGCTCTACACGCTGCATCTAATGGATTAATACCTTGATCTCCTCTTTGAATACGTTTTTCTAGCTTTGTTCCAGGTCCACAAAATTGATATCCTGGTAAATGAAGTTCAACGGGTAAAGAGTTAATCAACTTATTTACCAGTCCTCCTCCTTGAACGTGTTTCTTTCTAATAAATCGCTTCGTGTTGTAAACAATCATTTTATACTTTTTAGCGGGACGCTGAACGAAAGAAATATCGATATTTGATTATATTATAAATATGAATGTTTTCTTAAAACTACTCATTAGTTTAAATCATGAGATTACTGGAACAACAAGCTAAAATAATTGTTCAAAATGTGGATTTTATGCAAAGAAAGACCCCCCGACATAGTACTTTGCTGCCTGATTCTATACGAGCCTTAATAGTAGGACCATCAAATTGTGGAAAGACTAATGTGATGCTTAGTTTGATAGAAAGCCCCAATGGATTAAAATTTGAAAATGTTTACATTTACTCAAAATCGCTGTATCAGACAAAATATGAGTACCTAAAGAAACTGATATCCACTACAAAGGGGATGAGATTGTATACATTTAATAACAATGACGATGTTATACAAACGGACGAAATAAAGCCAAACTCAATCATGATTTTTGATGATGTTGCATGCGATAAACAAAACAACATTAAAAATTACTTCAGTATGGGGCGACATAAGAATGTTGATTCGTTTTATTTGTGTCAAACATACACACGTATACCAAAACATTTATTGCGTGATAATGCGAATTTTATAATCGTGTTTAAACAAGATGATCTGAATTTAAGACATATATTTAATGATCACGTCGGATGTGACATTAGTTTTGAAGATTTCAAAAAAATTTGTCATGAATGCTGGAAGGAAAAGTATGGATTTCTAACGATTTCCAAGGATGACGAAATTCACTCTGGAAGATACAGAAAAGGCTTTCATATATTTATTCAACCTTAATATTATTTAATGTATTTGCAAATGTTAATTTATATTAGTGCACCTACAGCCATGGAGGAGGAAATGCTGAAACGGCTTGTTAAGTCCAGAAATGTCTTGAAAAAGAAATTTCAAAGCATTAAAATGGGTGAAGAAGCTAAAACTACAGAATTGAAAAATACTTTCAAACCAATAACGGAGCCAATAAACAAACTACTAAAGCTTTCAACTGAAAATACTTCCAAAATGATTATGCCTAAGAAAGAGAAAATGGAAATGTACAGAGATTCTATTATTACAAGTACACCCCTTAAGAATTATAAACCAGATGTTAAGTTAGATTCCAATGCATTGGAGGGGTTAAAGCATAAAGTAGATTACACACAAAATTTCGATTCCTTTAATACATCACAAGACGACGACAAATTTTATTCCAACAATGAGGAACCTATGAATCTATCATTCTTGAAGAAAATTAAAAAACTAGATGTAGTCTATGGTCCACACAAAGATAACAATGGAGAATGGAGATTTGGGGACCAACCACTCAAAATAAGCAATGAAAAGATTATGATTGGAAATAAAAATTGGGCATTAACACCCGGTTTGTTTGAACTGTTGTTTTATCAAGACCCCAAGAACTATGATCATACAGAACTCGATATTTACAAAACAATATTATTAGACACAAATGCGCATAAAATAAACTATGAATCTAATGGACGAACAAAGTCCAACAGGGGACAAAAATATAAGAAAATAATAAAAAATATAATAGAGGATACTCACAGCGGCAAAGGCTTACTGACAATAAATCCTGGTAAACCCAACTATATATACTGGGACGATCCCAACGAATTGATAGAACGATTAAAGCTGTTGTTGGCATCACAACAAGCCGGAAACAATAACCATACTAATGAAATTGTTTCTATTATCGAGGAACTGCGAGAAGGAAATATAATATATTAAATAATACTCTCAAGGAGCATACAACATATGACTGTTGACAAGTTTGGACATCATTACAATCAAAAAAATCAATCAATAGCAGTGAGAGAAAATGTTTCGAGATTATTGGGAGTCAATATTGATGAAGATAACAACCTTAACGTGCAAAATAAAAAGATTAGGAATGTTGCATCTCCAGCAGAAGGAGCGGATGCGGTCAACCAAGCATACGTACATACGCAAATCAAGCACATTCAAGAAATTTTAAAGAAAAATTTCATTCAAGAGTGCACCTTCCTAAGAGAAGAAATATCACAACTCAAACGTTCACAAAACGAAATATTTAAAGCCTTATCGCAAGCTCCATTCAACTCACCAGCTTTAATATATCATACCGAATAAAACAATGGAAAAGCGGGGTTTGGTAAATGAACTTCATCATCAAGCACGAAAAAACTTTCCAAGACGAAGGGTTATTACAAAGGGTATTGATGATCTCTGGCAAGCAGATTTAGTTGAAATGGGCAGTTACTCAAAAGCAAACAAGGGGTTCCGATTTTTGTTAACTGTCATCGATACATTTTCGAAATTCGCATGGTGTGAAGCCCTTAAAACAAAAACGGCAACGGATGTTTCTATGGCTTTTGAAAAAATCTTACAAAGAGGAAGAATTCCAAAAAATTTGCAAACCGATGATGGAAAAGAATTTTTCAACACAGATTTTAAAAAACTAATGCAGAAATATTCCATAAACCACTACTCCACATATAGTGTATTGAAGGCCTCAATTGTTGAGCGTTTTAATAGAACTTTGAAGTCGCTAATGTGGAAGGAGTTCAGTTATAATGGGAATTATCTATGGATTGATGTTTATAGAGAATTGGTTAAACAATACAATAAAACACCTCATCGAACAATAAAAATGGCCCCTATTCAAGTAAATTCATCGAATGAGAAGGCATTGTTGCAATCTGCTTATAACCACTTAAAAATTTTTAGGAGACAAAACTTTCGTGTGGGTGATCATGTACGCATTAGCAAATATAAACATCAATTTGAAAAGGGATACACGCCAAATTGGACTACGGAAATATTCAAGATAAGAACAATAAGAATAACAAACCCCGCTACTTATTTATTAGAAGACTATGAAGGAAATCCCATCCAAGGATGTTTCTACAAAGAAGAACTTTTACCCACAAAATATCCCAACACGTATTTAGTTGAGAAAATTTTAAAAACAAAAGGTAATAAAGTCTTGGTTAAGTGGCTGGGATTTTCAGACAAACATAATTCATGGATAGATAAGAATCATATCATATAATCTTAATATGTAGATATACAATATACAAGCATATATTTAAATAAATAAAAACCCATATATACGTATGCATATTTTGTGTTTCAATTATTACGACAAAGAATTTTGCAATGTCAAGAACGTTTACTGTGTCCGGTAAATCTCCAATTCTACATTCAACATATTTACCCCCAATTGAATTGGGAAATAGTAGTTATGAGTGTTGCCTAATAGATTTCCAATCATACAATTCAATACCCAATGTGGATAATGATAACAATCTCTTTCACATTGGAGACAATATTATAAAAATACCTATAGGATCCTATGAATTGCAAGATATTGCGAATTACTTGGAAACGGAATATAAAACTATCCACGAGAATAGATCCATTGAAATTAAGGCGAATAATAATACGCTAAAAGTAGAAATCATGTCTTCTCATGATCCTATTTACTTTGATAAAGAAAAATCTATAGGCAAGCTTTTTGGTTTTACCGAAAAAATCTTAGAATCTGGGAAAAAACATACTTCAAACCTTCAAGTCGACATTTTAAAGGTTAATGCCATACAAATACACTGCAATATTGTAACTGGATCATTCATGAATGGGTCGCCAACGCATATTCTACATGAATTTGCTCTTAATGTTCCTCCGGGATATAAATTGGTAGAGAGACCAATGAATCTCATTTATTTACCAGTGAACGTCAAAGAAATCGGTCGTCTGGAGATAAAGATAGTAGATCAAGAAGGTCGCTTTATAAATTTTAGAGAGGAAGAAATCACGCTACGTATTCATATAAGACCAATGCAATCATGATTATCTACAATAAATACAATCATAAACAAATACCAAGACACATTCAACACAAAGTTGTCAAACCGACAAGACCTACAATTTCAAAGGAAAATAAAGAGTTTTTAAAACTTATTAAGCTTAAAGTCAAACCAAATGTCTGAAATACTTAACATTAATGAGCGTCCATTCTCGGATGAGAATATTGTAAAGAGAGACTACCACAGCTATGTTCCATATATTCAATCATTTAAAAATAATGATGAAATTCGGATAAGTATACAAAATCAGGATCTTTACATACTTCCATCGGAGAGTTATCTATTCATTGAAGGAAATTTGAAAAATAGCAAGGGAGAAGTATCGCAAAATGCAAGACTGAGAAATAATTGTGTGGGATACATGTTTGATGAAATTCGCTATGAACTAAATGGTGTTGAAATTGATCGTACTCGTTATCTAGGAATAACTACAGAAATTAAAAATTGGATTTCTCTAAGCGAATCCGAAAGTAAGGTTATGAGCAAAGCGGGATGGAAAGCTGATAATGATTTATCAGTAGGATACTTTAATTTTTGTGTACCCTTAAACCGTCTACTAGGGTTCGCAGAGGACTTTGATAAAGTAATTTGCAACAGCAAGCATGACTTGATTCTTTTGCGTAGTGCCAACGATAAAAATGTGTGTTATTCAACCATGGATACGGAGGAAATTAAACTCACCATAACAAATGTTGTATGGAAAGTACAACACATTCAATTATCAGACTATAGAAAAATCAGCTTCTTGAAAACTATTAAGGATGGAAAAGCGTTGCCTTTAGCATTCCGCAGCTGGGACTGCTACTTTAATCCAACTTTTGCTGGTGGAAGACAACACAGTTGGAGTGTTAAATTGTCTGTCAATCATGAAAGACCACGATATGTTGCTTTGATATTTGAAAAAGACAACAAGCTGGAACATTGCGAACTTAAAAACATCAAAGTTCACTTGAACTCTGAAACCTATCCTTACGATGATTTGAATGTAAAGTTCGAAGAAAATGGCTATGCAGTACTATATGACATGTATACAAAGTTTCAACAATCATATTACATGAGGGAGCCACAACCACTTCTTACATATGCAAGTTTTAAAGACAAGCCCATCGCCGTTATTGACATTAGCAATCAAAACGAAGCTGTTAAGAATGGACCAATCGATTTAAAAATCCAATTTGAAACCAATAAACCAATTCCACAAAACACTTCTGCGTACTGTTTAATTATACATGATCGTCTGGTCGAGTACGTTCCATTAACAGGAATTGTACGAAAAGTAGTATAATCTATTTTATACTCACCTTTGCAAGAATATTTCAATAAAACGCAATTTACATAAATTTATAATCAAAAATATTTTGTTTTATTTTATAATAAGAATAGTTAAAGACTAGCTAAAATATAATACACTTATATTTACTTAAAAATTAAACATTTTGTGTTGCGAGAAAATATTAATATGATGACATTTATAGTGAGTAAAGACAATTAAATTAATATTATTACTATGCTCTTTTATCTATATATTGAAACTTAAATCATAATTAAATTTATATTTTAATCCAAGTCCATTGAGACAGATTCATTTGAGTTATTTACATTTGTTTCATGAAGGTTATTTAATCTATAGTGGCCCCAAGCATAGGTGTGAATACCATCCTCTAGAATAAATCGTTTATCATCTTGATGGCTTAGCGATATTTTAGTAATTTTGTCTGTATATATTGTATGCTGTCTTGACCTAAACGAAAACATGGTACCGTAAAAAACCTTTTTGTTATAAAGACATTCTCGATATTTATCTATAGTATACTTTTTTAGGACCGACTTTTTAACTCCCTTAGATTTTTTTACTTCTTCGCTATCAACTACATTGATGGCATACATTTTAGGACGAAGGCCTACAAATTCAACCATTGTTTTTCCGTCATTCTCATCTTTCATCATGCCAAGTTTTTTCTTATTAATTAGAGGAAGTTTATATTTATTTTCTTTTGAAAACCCTGAGGTGTCAAATCTAGCCAATATTTCATCTAAAGATAATTCGGAATACAAATTCCGTCCGTAAAATGTTAATATGAACGAATCTGTATCCATATAATTTAGAATAAAATCCTCACCAAATTTCACTTTTAGAAAATCATACAGAAAATCATACATCACCCACTTTGATAAATCTAATATGCAGAACCCTAAGTACAATGGTCTATCATATTTTACTCTGACATTCCTAATTTGAATAGCAACCATATTTTCGGAGAATATCGAAAGGCTGTGAAAATTTGGCTTCGAGATTAATTTACTAGCAACATTCCTTCTTCTTTGGTTTGCCTCATCTACCCACATTGTCACAATTTTCACAGTTTTTCTTTTGTCGATATTCTCCATTGTCTTACCGAATGAAGAGTTATTCAATAATTTAAAAAAATCTTTTTCAAAGGCATTTTCAGCCTTTTCCCTATGTTCATTATTCTTCAGTATGTAAGGAGCTAACCAAGCGCTTTGTGTGAAAGCCAAAACTCTATGGACTTTCTTAAGAATTAGTCCATGTTTCAGAGATTGCTTAAGTAATTTGTAGTGTATGGTGTATGATGTTTTGTCAGTAAAATCTGCAATCAGTTTTTCAGTTTTTGAGCCCTCAACACACTTTTTCTCCGCCAAAAAAGGTAAATCGTTATGTTTGTCGTGAAGGTGCGGTGGATATTCAATATCAACCTCTAAAATAAAACCAGTAGGAGCGTTGTCAGGAATAGATAATATTACAGCTGGATCATTGAATTTCTCCATTTCATAACCCTCCACCCATCTAAAATCTTTTTCAGGGAGACACTCAGTCATAACTGTACCATATAAATTATTTACATCCAAATAATAGATATTTACCTCTGGTTTGGCACTATTATAATTGGGAGCATCTTCATTATTTGCTACCGAGTGTCTGTTTGAGCACTGGGTAAGCCCTCCCCGAATACCATTTTTGCAGAAATTGTACATGTCTATATCTCTGAGTAGCTCAAGTTCGACTTTAGTACATAGTAGCATTGCATCCCAAGATAGAGATGGTGCTGTGAGATATTGACAAGGGTCCAGTTCGTGAATTCGCATACATAAGCTCCTGAAATTTTCAAATACGTCTGCTAAAAGCAAGACATCAGCTTTTAAATACAAATCCATGTAGTCTTGCATAGTTTGACATCGAAAATGTGACCAAACATTTGTTGCATGCCTATAATCGTCTGACGAGCATTCAGTATCTGTCAACTTATTATAAAATTGGTCTATAGGGGGAAGTTGTTTCTCCTTCAATTTTTCAAATGATGAAATATATTCGTAGGGAAATACTCCTTTCCTAGTCATAAGTTCGAATGCTTCATCATCAGGAAAATGAGATCTGATAGCAACAAAAGAATCTCGAGATAAATTCCTTGCTAATTTATCCAAACTAGTAGGCATAAATCGAAAACTATCTAAGAAACGATGCTCTAATCTATTCATTTTCTTTTTCTTCTCTTTTTTGCCCTCACTTTCCTCTTCTTGCTGGAATTCCTCATCATCTTCCTCACTCGAATCTTCTTCTTCTCCTACAACAACTGTACTTTTTAAAGAACTAGAGTCGGTTGACTCGTTATCCATATTAATGAAATAAGACATTGAAATATATTTTTCTTTGTTTTGAGGTATGACTCTTATTTCACCTCCAAATTCAACTAATTCTTTAAAGAAGAGGTGACAGTCGTACGAAGAAAAATTGTGGAAATATATTGGAATAAATTTAGGTAGATGATATTGCAGATTGCAATGGTTATGTACCGCACCTCGATATTGCCCCGTTAAGTGACAATGATCTTTCACCCTATCGTTACCTAAAATATCGCCACATATACGACAATTTATATCCCTAAGAAAAGCTGTCTCTTCTTCGGGTGTTAGAGTATTCATAGGTTTCGTTTTGGTTAGGTAACTATCATACAAAAATTTACAATCCTGAATTAGTTCTTTCAGAAAAACATTTGCTGCGTCGGGTCCACTATATATAAATAACTTATTTAAATTTTCATTAAAACTACATTTAATAAAATAACTAAAAGCACATGGAATATGCTTCTTTACCTTTTCCGTTTTTTTACTCGCCCCATTGTTCTCATCTTCCTGCACGTCTTCCAGTACACTTTCGGAGTCAGCATAAATAACGAAAGGCACCTTATCCTTTTTCTTGTGATTGACGAACTTCAGTACGGCTTCTTTTTTGTTCGGCAGGGCACAGACTACTTTTCCACACTGCTTTTTGTGAGTCATACATTTATTTTCATCGTGGAAACATTGCAGGCATCCAAAACAAAAATAACCTTTCTCCTTATGACTTGTGAATTGAGACCGCATAAGACTGAAAAAAAAGAACAAATACATGATTATTATGATATGGTTTTGATTGATAAGTTTTGTTTTTAATTACCAAGACATATCCATAACCAAAATGTAATGAAAATTTTCTTCATTGTGCAGCAATATTAAATTAATGTGATTGCTTTTCGTCTCCTTTGTTAAGTAATATGGACCAACGACCGACTTGTTTTCATAACCGAAAACATTTACGCTGATCTCTGGGTTGTTCATTTCAAATTTTTGTATATATTTAAGACCCAATGGGAAATTTAATTGTTCGAAATTTAGCGATATTCCAGACTGCAGAATAATGACATCTTGGTGTATGTCTACGTTATATGAAGAGGTTATACTCGGATCTCCATATGCAGTTTCTCCCAATGCAACAACCATACACCACTTAAAACAAAAGTCATCATAGTTTTTGATGTTAAGGCACGCACCCTTCTTGTTGCTTAATGATTTCGGAGTTGGAATATAATGTGAGCCACGTGTTAAGTTGGCTCTCAACACATTTATGTCAAGTTTTAAAAGTTTCTCCAGGGCCCAATTAGAGCCTCTTTCTTGGAACTCTTCTGATTTAGCTATAATTTCCACACAGTGGTTGAAAACGACCTCTTCCAAATCATCTCCCAGGGTTAATAGCGTTGTTTTTGAAATATGATTAAATATATTTTCAATAGTTAACTCTTTGGAAGTTGAAGGTCCATCTTTTTCATTGTTTGGTTTCACATATAGTCCTTGGAGTTCCATATTAAATTTTATGAGCGTTTTACCGTTTAACCTCATTTTTCAAGGTTTTAATTATTAATTCTTTTGAAGCATTAAGAAAATCGATCGGGTACAAAATGTCTTTATTGTTTTGTATCTCATAGCTGAGTATATTTTTGTTAAATGCACTTTTAACAATTTTTATGTCAGAATCCAGATTTTTTCTCACGGTGGATCGATGTTCTTCGCTACGAACGTGTGATCGTATATTATTCACAATTTTATCACAATCACCACAAAACTTTTCCACCTTCACAGCTGATTTATTTTCATGCTGCTGCTTTAGTTTTTCTTGTTGTTGATCACGATTTTGTTTCATTACATGCTCATCTCCATGATGGTTCTCTAAGTGCAATTCTAAATCGTTTACACTTTCACGTAAAACATCACAAAACATACAATGCTTTTTCATATGTTTCACAAATTCACTTTTTTCCTTGTAATAAAGGCTGCATGACCAACAAATTTTTTGAGACATTATAAAAACTTTTTTAAAAATATTAAGAAACGATGCTTATTAATCTGTGACTTGTTGAGTACTGAAATTTCTTCCAATCCAATCAATACATTATTGACTACATTTTGTAAACAAATAGAAATTCTGTGATTGAAGCAGAATTTGTCATGAAACTCTGCAACAACGCTTCCCCCCAAATTCTCATATCCATTTCACAGAAATCCAATTGTTAGTTAATGTAAACAATGGTGTTTCCTTCTTCAAATCCCTTCAATCTTCAATACCGAATTGATGCAGGGTTTGTCATGAAACTCTTTCAGTTTCAATTCTCTCAAATTGCTACATAATGTAAACAAATTCTTCATCGACAAAACTATCAAAAAGCGATCGATATAATGTATCAAAATGCCTGTCCACACAAGAAGAATTTGCTTTGATTGGCTACAGCAGCATTTTTTTAGTGTGTATATGCTACAACATTAATTGGTGGTTAGATGTCGCCTATATCGTTTCGAGGGAAATGACTGGAGAGCCATCTGGACAAAATAATAGAACACACATCTTCTTGTTGACTATGATACTAACCAAATTTGTCTCTGCTATATTCACTTCTCATATGGTGGATCTCTCTAGCCCCATTCGATATGATCATATTTCAATAGTTTTGGAGTGTGTCTATGCTACAACATAATTTATGGATAGTATGGATGGAACTCACCGTTAGATGTCGCCTATATCGTTTCGATGGGAATAACTGAACATTTTTGAGTCGCTAAAATTATAGACAAATTAAAACAAGTACAACGAAAAGTTAGTTTTGTCTTTTTATCTCATCATGTTTTGCATAGCCAACATGCTGATTTTCGTGTTCAACCCACTCGACTTCGTTATCTTTTTTCAAGAATTTCACTTGATTATTCCGGAATTTTTCGATGTCATTTCTTTGTCTATATTTTCATTTATACTTTCATCTATGCTGAAATTAAAACCCCTGAAATATCAATAATTGCAGCATATTTGTCAATTGAAACTCTTCTATAATATATCACATTTATTGAAGTCGATTTCTTGAAATATATGTTTTCAAATAAATTAATAAGCACATTTGACTGCAGTAATCAGCATGTTGACTATATAAAAGCATTCTGAGAGCCATCTAGATAAAATGATTTTCTTCGATACTTACCTCTTTCAGATGTGTTTCTGCTATATTCACTTCTCACATGGTGAATCTCTTTAGCCCCACTCGATATGATCATAATACATTTTTTTTTTTTTCGGAGGGTGTCTCTGCTAGTGGTGAATATTAAAACTTGAAATTTCACCATCCCATACACAGTTTTGGATTGTGTCTGCGCTAAACTTAGCGCCATCTAGTAGTCCATATTAAAACTAGCAACGCCAACAGCCCCAATAAAATTTGACGTGGTACAATTCAAAAGACAACATCCCCAATATAATTTGCCGTGGTACAATTCAAACGACAACATCCCCAATATAATTCACCGTGGTACATTTCAAAAGACAACATCCCCAATATATTTCACCGTGGTACATTTCAAAAGACAACATCCCCAATATATTTCACCGTGGTACATTTCAAAAGACAACATCCCCAATATATTTCACCGTGGTACATTTCAAAAGACAACATCCCCAATATATTTCACCGTGGAGAATTTACCCTAATCAACATCCCCAATAGAATTTGCCGTGGTACAATTCCCAAGACAACATCCCCATTAAAATTCACCGTGGTGAATTTACCCAAATCAACATCCCCAATAGAATTTGCCGTGGTACAATTCCCAAGACAACATTCCCAATATATTTCACCGTGGAGAATTTACCCTAATCAACATCCCCAATAGAATTTGCCGTGGTACAATTCCCAAGACAACATCCCCATTAAAATTCACCGTGGTGAATTTACCCAAATCAACATCCCCAATAGAATTTGCCGTGATAAATCGTGGTGAATTCCCAACATCCCCATAAGCACACTACTGGCCTATGCTAGGACGCAGATCTGTATATGCAATTTTTGTCATAGGCCGTTACGATATTCAAATATGAAACTTGAAATAATTTCGGTAAATAATTTCGCTAAAATCATCAAAATATTGAATATATGTAGGGTGGTGGTGCTACATGGGGGCGCTACGAAGACGCGGACCTGTATGAGCAATTTTCTAGTAAAGGATGTATTACCCATTAAAATTCCAAATTTGAAACATTTTTGTTGAAAAGTGTGGGACCGACATAACTTAGCTAATTTCTTACTTGTTGTACCCTGCAACACTATGTGTTGGGGGTATTATAAGTTTGATTGGGCCAAAAATTATGTAAACGACGAAATATTGGTTTCCCACATATGAAAGTATATATGGATCTTCCTGAGCTGAGTCGATCTAGCTATGTATGTCCGTCCATCCGTCTGCCCGTCTGTCCATGTTAATTTGTAATCACTCTACAGGTCGCAATTATGGCCTGATCTTCACGAAATTTAGAATGGAGGTGGGGCTAGGGTCAGAATAGAACACTATTTCTTTTGGAGATGATCGCATAATATTTGAAAAAAATCCTGATTTTGCAGTTGCTCCACAGGTCGCAATTATAGACCAATCAAAGCGGAAGCATGGGGCTAGAGCTTAGGGCTGGGCAGAAGCCTTAAAATTTTGATGGTCATCGGGTAATATTTAGTGGGTGCAATAGGCCACAAAACATTTGTATTAAATAAAAGTCAAATTTTCCATTAAACCGCGAATATTTTTAATCCCGGAGACATCACAAATACACGTAAAGGTCAATTCTGACCGTTACGTATAAGCCGATAGTAAATATATCGGTTATATATTGCGAAATATATACAATGTGTATATAAAAAGGAAGGGTAATGCCCTCTTGACATAAAAGTATAAAATCTAAAAAAATCGCAGAAAAATATGCCAATAATAATGTTAATATAGATTTAGTAGTATTTTGTGATATTTTTTTTTATTTTTTCATATTTTTTATCGCATGCTATATTTTCAATTTGACTTTTAATATTTTGTAAAATTTTTTCACATTAGAACACAGTTTGCGGATATTATATAAGTATTGCAAATTTGGAGATACAGAGGGGCTTCTTGCTTTTGGAGATGATTGCAAAATATTTATTTCAAATTAACCAAAAACAGAAATGTTTTTCCGATCACACAATTGAAGCCAATCGACATGCCTGTGAAGAGAGTTAAGGACAGGGAAGAATTCTTGCATTTTGGATGACTATTCAATTATATTTAGCTGTAAAATGGACTACAACCACTAACAGCCCCTAGCCCTAGTCCCTAGTCAAAATCCTAATTTCAAAGCGAAATCTTCCAATATGGATTTGGACATAAGGGGGCTTCTAACATATTGTAGTGTTGTAGGGTATAACATAGTCGGTCCCGCACGACTATAGCCTATGCTTACTTGTTTAATATGAGTTTGTAATCTGTAATGAAAAAATCTTTCAATTCAATATTGATATTTTCGCAAAATGTAAAAGGTTTATCACTGTTTCCAAAACAGGCTACATCTCGACGATAATTCATTTAACATTATTGAAATAATCCCTTTGTCCGAAGTCTGTTAGCCACAATACCATCATATGGTTTGCTTCGTGGCACTTTCTAGTCTGTATATTATTTATATTATTTCCATTAGTTTTTGCCCTTCTTGCACTTTTACACTACACAATCACTTTATAGCTGTGAATGACTGAAACCTCACAGAGAAAAAGTAGCGGAAATTCAAACGGCAATCGTCATCATCACCATTGTCAATAATATCTCCCAGGTCCTTAGTAAGCGAATATAATGAAAAACAAAATATGCATTGAAATATAAATAGGATTCTATTAGTGGGTCAATGCTTAAAACAGACGATGTTATTAAAATACGGTGAGAATTAAATCCATCTCTAGATGGACATGTAGTGGCATTTTATGAGTAGCATATATTCTAGAACTCTATTCAGACTACTAGATAAAATATAGAAAAACATGTAACGTGACCTTTTCATTTACGTTGCATCTTCTAAAACTCATACAAAAAAATTCTCATTCACTTAACTGCATAACCCGGATTTATAGTTCAGTCTT